AACAGGGAGAGGAAGAGAGAGAGAGAGAGAGAGAGAGGGAGAGAGAGGGAGAGAGGGAGAGAGAGAGAGATAGAGAGCGTACGTATGTGTGGATGTATGTGGATGTGTGTGCGAGTAGATGTATATGTGTGTATACTTCTGTGTGCAAGCACCTGCTTGCGGGTATGCATATGTGTCTTTGTGCAGATTACCATGTAAAAGACACAGTGTACCTTTTTGTATACGTGCATCTATACGTGTGTGTGTGTGTGTGTGTGTGTGTGTGTGTGTGTGTGTGTGTGTGTGTGTGTGTGTGTGTGCTCCGTTGGACAAAGAGTTTGGGAGTGAATAAGTCAGTGAGTGCGTGAGTGAGTGCGTGAGTGAGTGCATGAGAGAGTTTCTAAGTACAAGACGATTCAATGGAAGTATGGGGAATATTTTACAATGACATTCGGGCTCAAACTACAAGGAATTTCGATTCCCACCACACCGTGCTATCTATTGTGTTTTGGTTTCACAGTGACACTCTCACTGTAGATAGCATGTAGTACCCAACAACTCCAGCGATCGCCCAACGTCATTCCAAATCTCTTTGCCCTGGCTCCATGTTAAATTTGAGCAGGTTTGAGGAAGAGCACCGTTCCCTGCCCATACACTAGGCAGGGCTGCACATTCAGAATGCACACGTCTCTACTTTCACACCCGCCCCTCTCCCCTTTCCCCTACCTTTCCCGACGCTCAGTACTTGCATTATGAGATAAGTGTGCCAAACGGACACACTGACAATGGTATATTTTTCATGGAACATCCCCAGTATTCATGATGTGCACACCATCTATTTTCGTTCGTTCAAGTGCACGAGACTTCTTCGACTACCAAGTGGAATAATATTCCAACCTAACATTACAGTCTTCAGATGGCTACTGTGTTTGCGATAATTGTGTGTTAATACCATAGCCATAATGGAACGGACCAGTATTGCTTGGGTCAAAACAAGTTTCCTTTTGCTTTTTGTTTTCAATTATTTGATCCAAGTTCCTTCACTCATTATGGACTGAGACGGAAGAATTCGAAGCTGAATAGTCTCCACTCTGGTCATAGAAAAAACGTGCTCGCCAGATGACCGAAAGGAACCGGTTTAAGATGTTCGTCACAAAAAGTGGAAAGGCGGGCGTGTTAACAACCTGTGGCCAGTTTCATGGGCTGGAGTGTCGGCGTTCTTGAAGGAGACAAGGAGGAGGTACCCCAGAACGCTTCTGTTTGTTGTCATTCATCGGTGGCGATTCGCTTGCCAACGAACGTCTCAAAGCTCAAAGGACAACCTTATTATGTGACTGTGTTACAATTACGACGTTATAATGTTCCCTGTTGTTGTTGATGTTCATTGTGAAGATGAGTACGTACACTCCTCGTGTAATTTATCAATGATTGACCATGCGCTGTATGTGTATATAATATGTTCTATATCTGCATATGTATAATATGATTATTATGATAATAGCTAAAATGATGCTCATTTCATACTGTGTCCCTGATGCTTGTGTTGGATCGATCTCTGCTTTTCGTGGTGGAATGGTTTTTTGCGGCGTATATCATAAATATTGTGAAGAGCACCAAGCTCTAAAGATACGTTCAGTTTGCTGGCACCGTGTATGCACGATTTTGCATGGATGGGGAGTTGTATGAAAAGGAGGGGGG